TGGAAGTATGAACTACGTGAACCAAGTTCACCAAGTCAATAATACGTGTAAATTAACACGGTGAGTTGAGTGGCTGGTTCCATGTGCCAGGACACTCCTCTGCTGTTAGCCAGACATGTGAAAAGAGAGATGAGGCAGTGAACTGGAAGAGTGTTCTAATAACCGGTGACTAGCACACCTACTGGCAAAGAGACTTGTGGAAAAATAGTTGGCTTTGTGAACAGGCAGTGATGAGTCTGTGCCAAAATGAAACACCCACAGCTATCATTCCAACTGAGCCCACCCAACAACCCCCGCCACACAGAATTCCTACCTGTTGCTGCTTGTATTCCTGACATTAGTTTATACAGACTCTCACGCTCACATCTCTTTCTTCTTAGTTAAGACTAATCCCTTCACTAACCACATACAGAACATCTATTACTTTTCCTTTAGTGCTAGCCAGTTACATTACTATTATATGTTAAACCCAGGTCTGGGACGATAATCAATAAATCCATTGATCGCACGATCAATGTTTTCCTCATCTCTCACCTCCAAACAGGCTGGATGATAGAATGTTATAAAAAAAAAGTTTAGGGGAAACAAAGTTATAATCCAATGTTACATGAAACATGTCTGTATGATGACGTTGCCACATGAGTGGATGGACTTCATATTTAAATGAATATGTGTGTCACAGAGAAAAGTACCAGGAGGACATACATTATGTCGCCACAACAATATGGTCACACACATTGACTCATTCACCAGAGTGTTGTGCCCAACTCACGTAGAGCTCCAGGAGGACGCAGCACTCGTAATGCAGCTGCTCGGCTATGGCAGTAGTCCGGGTCATGGTGGTCCTGCTCGGCTCCGTGACGCTAATGTGTCTGCTCCGTCTGTGAGCCATTAGTCCCAACTCTGAGTTAGCTGTCTGGGTTTTATCTGCAGTGTTGCTCGAATAGTTTGCTCTAAAATGCCCCTGTTTTCCCCTGGGGCACAGTGACGCCACAGCTTCCCAGGTCACGGTTCACGACCAGTACCGGTCCACGCTGGTTTAATTACAGCAGCTGCGTCTCTTCCTCGTCTTTTTCCCGGTATGACAGACCTCGTCTACTTGTTAGTTACTTGAGTTTCTCAGAGCCAGCCAACTCTCCACCCTCTCTCCCAAGAACCTGATGCCAGGCATGAGGAATTTAACGGGACAGGCAGGGGGCGGAGAGCGTGGAGGGAGGAGGGAGGAGCTCATCAACTTCCGCCGAAGGAGATTATCTGATTTACTGGTACTGACAAAGACGGAGCATCCAAACTTTAGCAGGATATATCTGTCTCTGTAGATCACTGATAACACGTATCTGTCTGGGATAGCTTTATCACATTGTAATGGTCGTGCTTCCTCAAGTAAAAAACTTTAAATTGTCTACTTTACATAGATGGAATAATTGGAAGAGGAATTGTCCAAATAACCTACACGCCTAGAACTATCCTTCCCACCAAACTTCCCCACCACATAGTCTCAGAGGAAGTCTGAATAACCAGAGATAAAACAAGCACGCACAGACCATAAACACTAGATATGAGTCCAGGAAGCAATTCTTACAAATGTGTTTCGAAGAAAAATAAATATAAATTAATATATTCGTTAAAACAACAGGATTAAAATGTGTTGCATTTTAAATACATTTTATCTGTAATAAATAAATAATTATTTTATCATTATTAAATTACTGTAAACCCTGGATAACAGAAATAACAAATATTTGCCGACATTAACATTATATATATATATATACTGTATATATGGTTGTTTTTTAAGAATGCCAGGAAGTCACACTTATGAATTTGAACTGCTGAGAAGTTCTAATTCAGTGAGTTTCTTGTGACAAATGCAATAAAAGAAAAAAAATGTAGAGATCAAACACACGAGATGCGAATGTTAAAAATTTAAATGAAAAGACCTAGTGTAAACATTTAGTAAATCTATGCAGTTTTACAAAGTATCAGCGCAATAGAATAGGACCTGTATCCAGGTCAGAGAGATGGGCAGGCTACATGGAAATTGCAGATAACTGAGAGGTACACTGCAGTAAATGATGCTTGACTACAGGATTGTTACCACTTAGCCAGATTAGGTAAATAAACAGGGCAAACATAAAAAAATAATTAAAAAACACTTCAATTGAAGTTTTAATATACAGGTGAACAGTGTGTGAATTAACTCTGAAAAATATGATGATGAGTATTATTATTGTTATTCATAAATAGTAATATACTGTGTTTGGGTTAAAACATTTGTCAAGAAATTTGATTAGAAAGATTATTTAAGAAATATTGCTTTTATTGCTTTGTCTGGGTATATATGAGTAAATTTGTGAAACCAACACTGGTTGTTTATCTTTGCACTGCGGTAACCTGAGAGGGTTTGGCGGAATTTAAAAGAGCTTTCTTTTTAATTAAATTGAATGGTGTAGTACCACTCCCGTGCAGCAGATGACACTGCACAAAAACAGTAACGTGAAGAACAAGCTACAGCTACGTGGTTGTTTGCTGTCATTTATGTTAAACCACTTTTTTTAAAAAGGGATTACGGGATTGTCTTTAATTTCGTTTTGTTTTATTTTATTTTGAGGTGTTGCTGTTATCGTCTCTCAGAAGCTGTTAGTAGACTGCTTTTCTTCAAAACAAAGCTTCCAAATACCGTAGCGTATGCTAAACGTAGAGGTATGAACTCTTTGGTTGGTTACGGAGTTTCCTCAGATTCTGACAGCGACGAAGGTGGAAACGCTGATGGAGATGGGTAATTATTCGTACACATAATTTGGCCATTAACTGTGCGTTATGTCACCTTTGCATTACGTGTAACTACTATTTTCTGTATGTAAAGATCCATCAAGGAGGTACGTAGTGAAGCGGTAGCTGCTAAGAAGACTCGCAATTTCTTACTGGAGTCTGGTTCCACTTCCAGTGACTCGGATAATGAGTCCGAACTAGAGGGAAAGAACCCAGAGCCAGCTGCATCCTCAGTGCACCCCTGGTCTCTGCCAAGATCAGCGTCTACAGGTTGTGAGCCGAGCCTCCCATCTCCTATCCTGGACTCCCTCGGTCTTAACAAACTGCCTCCTCCTCCTCTGAGTGCTTGTTCTACAAGCAGCGTATTTTTAAATCCATTCAAGGCTCAGGCAATGCAGAAACTCAGCGCATTACAGAAACATGTCCCTCTTACAACCCAGGCCAAACCTTCCCAGATAGGAGGAAAAAGGATGTGTGTGTCCTACAGGAAAGATGGAAGGTGCAGGTTTGGCATAAAATGCAAGTTTGCTCATGACAGTGACATACAGACCCCAGTCGTTTCCTCTCCTGGTAATCATCATCTCCCTCAGCGTGTAAATGATGAAGAATCCTGTGATGGTGGCTCCAATGGTGCCGAGTCTCAGAAGCTTAAAGAGGAGGAGAATTCAGGTGGTCAGCAGATGAAGAAGAGGAAAGTCGGACTGAGCAACACTTTGATTCCACCCAAACGTGCTATGAAGCAGTACGCCATGTTGAGAGACAGATACCGAGCCAATATGCCCTAGAGAAAGTTCTGGGCTCTAAATTTGCAATCTTAAAAATGCACAACTATGTAGTGCATAGTTATCAGTAGGCAATAACTGTACTGTATGTAAATGTTTGCCACTTTGTTATACACATGTTTTTTATAGTTCCATTGCAGATTTCCAGTTCTGGATACACACAGTCTAGGGGGAGAGGGGTTGTTTATTTCAACTGCTGTTACTTTAATTCAAGACTGTTCTAAGTTAAGAATAGAATAGTCTTTGTCATAACAACACATATCTAGCATTCTGTAATCTTGAGCCACATTTTGTTCCAATTCCTCACAAGAATATACTGCATCTCTCCAGTAAAGTTAAAACACATTTGTTTCTATGTGTCTTCCTGCTTGTTATCATTTTTTAAAGCCTAAACTATTTCCTCGCAAGACCTGTCAAGAAAAACAAAAGGTGAAATCTTTGTGTTTTTTATGCAGGTTTCATTTTCTGGACATAACATCTTTGGGGTGATTCAAAGATTTATTCCATGTGTAAAGTAGAATAACATAGATATGCCAGAATAGTTAGAATTGCTGTTTTCAGATACTGGGGACTGAATCACTTACCTTCCACCAATCCACCTGCTTCCAGTGTGAGGGAATTAAATAATCCCAAATAATGTTGTCGAACTGTCAATAAAAAGACTTTAAAGTGTTAATACATTTATTTACATCATTTAAATTAACATGTTTTAGCTACCACCTTCCTAAAGGGTGATCTAAAGTGTTCTGATTTAGTACTGACATATGCTCTGACAACTACACAGCTAAACGTATCAGATTCCATAACATTGTAAAGGTGAAGACGGTCTGTTTTAGTCGTCCTTAAAAACTGTTAAAATAACTGTCAAATATGTCTAAATAGTACACAACTACAACTAAATTATTTTTTGTCTTTAGTTTCTGTGTGGTCAGAGCCTCATGTTGTGAAATAAATTTAGTAAGTGTTTTCTTTTGTCCCCACATATAAGATTCACAGATTCTAACACAGCTCGGGTGTTTAACACACTATAACCTAGGACGTGTACTAGTAGGAACCTGCCAAACATTTTGGCATTTGATGTGCTGTACATCACCAAGAGGTATGCTATATATTATTGCATATTAGCAAAAGCTTTGCCATTTAAACCTCAGTATTAATACACACACCCACATAAAAGGCAAAGTTATGTTTACATGACTTATGTACAAAGGCACACATAAAGACAAATACATATATTTCCCTGATAGATATAATCTAAAAAAAATTACCAAATAGGACTATGAGTGAACAGTTCATATAATAATTGTGAGCCTACATCACTTCCAATGTTGCAGTACGGTATATCAGGTCACTAATGTGCTCCATACTTGTTTTACACGAGGGCCTGCTGCTGTGAACGTCTCTCAGTGCTGTGAAACAACTTCCTGCCCCGTCTCGTCCCAGCCTTTCCCGTCCTCCCCCACCATCGCCGTTTGCTGCAGGGAGTTATCTGCTAATGAGGAAGACATCAGCCCCGGGGTGTCCAGGATGAAGCTGCCCCCGTTTGCAGAGGCTGCGTTCTGTGACAGGGGTGTGGATTGGGAGAGGAGAGTGGGACTCACAGCGGTTGTTTGAATTTGAGGAGACGTTGCTAGAACAGGGATGTGCTGAACGTGGGTTTGAGACTGGCTGACTGGCTGGAAAGTCATTTGTAGGATCTGAGTCTGCCCTTGCCCCTGATGCTGAGGAGGATAAGACTGGAGCTGGGGCTGCATCTGGGGCTGGAGGGTCAGTTGTTGGATCTGTGGCTGCTGAGCAGCCTGCACAAACTGGACGGGCATCTGCAGCTGCAGGCGGGTCTGCTGCTGGCTGTCAGTCACGGATGGGGGGTTTACAGGGGTCAGGGCAATGGTCACTGGCACCTGCATGGTATGGAGGTTCTGGTCTTGTCCCAGTAAAACCAGCTGGTGGCTCATTTGCTGGGTTGCCTGACTTAGCTGAGACACCTGGGCTACCTGCTGTCCAGCCTGCCCTTCATGGCTCAGGGTGTCCACCTGCCCTTCCTTTCCTGCTTCACTCACATTCAAACCAGTGACTTCTGTCTGCGCTGGTTTTCCTTGCTGCTCCAACAGGGAGGTGGGGGTTGTGATGAGCGCACCGGCATTGGCTGCCAACGCCTCGGCGATGAGAACCTCTGGGTGGCTCTTGGCCTTATGGGCCACTACACAGTCTTTCTTCTCAAACTTCTTTCCACAGATAGAGCAGGAGAACTGATAGGTGGCATCAGCGTCGTGCTTCTTCATGTGCCAGTTGAGAGATGCCTTTTGGCGACAGGTAAAGCCACAAATCTCACATCTATTAGAAAGGAAAAAAAGGTGAGCTTCACCAAACCCACAAAGTCCAAAATGTGAACATGTTAAGCCTTACTGCAGAGGCTTCTCTCCTGTGTGTATCATTCGGTGAACAGCCAAGTTGTGCGAACTCTTGAAGGCACGAGCACAGAACTCACAGATGTAGTCTCTCTGGTCTGAAAAACACAACAGTCAAATACATGCAGACAAATATGTATGTATATATTTATATATGTAGTCCATTGGCCTCAGCAGTAGATTGGTAATTTAAATATTATTTATCTAGAATATTTAAAGATCCAAAAAATTTGACTATACAATTTGTATTTGTATGTGCAAATGCTGGACTGACATTTGGTTAGAGACACTTCAAAATACCAAACCTGTTGTGCTTCGACTGTACCTGTGTGATGCTTGGCGTGGCGTAGCAGCTGTTTTTGAAGGCGGAAGAGACGTCCACAGGACGGGTGAGGACATACGTATTTCTTTTTGAGCAAGTGCTGATACTTTATATGATGCTGGTGAAAATGATATAAAAGGGCAGAAGTGCATCAGCATCAGTTGGTTGTAGCAGTAAGAGCATTGACATAAAAAAGGTTTGTTGATGGAAATACTGATGAGAGGCTCCAGGTAGCAGCAGGCATGTCATGAATTATTAATTTAACCTACTTCTACATTTGAATTATACAGTAATAAACCACCCTGACAGACTCTAGTCAAGTATAATGGATAATGATGCCAATTTGATGACAAACCTGCAGGTAGCGAGGATGAGCCAAAACTGTGCCACATCCTTCCATTTCACAGCGTACGTACTGCACCGGAGGCTTCTTCCTGTGGTAGAATTATTGAAAGTTCATATACTGGATTTTTACAACTTCACAAGACTAGAGGCGACATCACCCTTACCTCCTCTTTGGAAGCCTTGGTGTTTTGTCGTCCTTCTTCTTTCTGCCTCTTCTAGGCACAAAAAGAATATAACAGTTGCAAACGTTGCATAACAGTACAAAACAAAAATAACAACATGCACCAACACTAAACTGAACATAAAGGACATTTGCTGCAGTCAGCAGTACTCTGCTATCGACGACTGTGTACAGATGAGGCACTGAAGCTGTGCTTACTTCCTGGGTCCATCTCGGTCCTCCAGATTTTCTTCTTCCATCTTCACTTCCTCTTCAGCATTCGCCACATTGTCCAGAACTTCTATTTTTATCTCTGCGACCTCCTTCTCTTTTTTAGGTGCCCTTTCTTTTTCTCTCTTTTCCTTCTGTCTGGGAGGAGCTCTGCGTTTTGGCTTAGGTGCATCCCTGCTAAAAACAAACAAACAATAACAACAACAAAAAAACAGAACAACGCCTTGATTATACTGTAAGTGATAATTATAAAAACAGACAAAGCTTCACAGACCTTTCCACTTTAGGGTCGTAGCTCTCATCATTTAAGTCGTCTCTGAAGGGGAGATCTTCATCAGTGCTTAGACCCTCTTCTTCCTCGCCACTACTGCAAGTGGAAAGAACATGATATATGACTTTACAATACCTGCATACTAATTCTTCTGTGCATGTTATATGAATATACCTCAGGGTCTGAGGCTGGTAGTTGAGGTCATTTGCAATATCCTGAATTTCAGACTCTTCGTTTTCCAAAACCAATTCTGCAACATCTTCACTTTCCCTGTCTGTGTTTTCCCTGAAACAACATCAAAGGGTGGAAATGTTTATGGAAATTTTCCTCACGATGTATTGTTAAATGTTGTCGATGACTTAGATTTACTACAAGGTTATACTTACATCTCATCCTTCTCCTTATCGTTCACCTCTCCCTCCGCTGCAGGTGGACAAAGGCACAAATAAATCAAGGTTTTTATAAAAATGTGCATTTGGATAAAAGACCTCCAACAGGAAACAAACACTGTCCATTAAAGAGATCAGCTCCTGAGTTCTGGTCCATTACTGCAGCGGTTGGTGTGTACCAAGTGAGATTAACCAAAGGTGTGCATTATTGGACCATCGATGCGAGAGAATGTGACATATGACTGATGAGTCCCGTTATTGACCATCATCAAAAACCACAGAGTAAAACAGACTTGTTTTAACATGACAGGCTGACTCAACCCATTCTGATGCTGCAGCTCACAGTGAAACTTTTCTTTATTTCAAAATGAAACCATTCAAGGTAAAAATGGTAAATTAACTCTCAACTTGTACAAATACATACAGAAATATAAATATTTAATTTTATAATTTACAAGCAGCCTTGACAAGAGTCAAGTCGATTTTACTATTTTGTTAATGTAAACCTTAACAACATTTTGTTTTGGTCTGTATAGTTATTGTGAATTAAAGGTTCACATGCAAAAAAGCAGGTATCAGGCAACATGTTGCTTACCAGCAGGATTATCTAATCCTGGTTCAGTTTTACACGTTGTCTTCGTGGAGCTGCGGCTGGCTCTGCCAGACAGGGGGTTGGCACGAGTGTGTGCTGTGGAGCGTCTGGAGGGAAGTGCTGGAATACGAGAGCAGAAATATGCCATCAAATACTACTGCGTGCCCTAAAGGAAAATTATACCACATTAGACACCAGTGCAGAGGGAGAGCTGTTTTATTTTATTATGGATTTCCTATGTGATGGTGATATTTTAGAAGAATTAGAAGAACAGCTGATTCTAGATCAGGGTTGTGTGGAGAGCTGGAGCCAAATCTAACTGGGGATTCATTGTGAAAAGTTCAGCAGTTCATCGCAAGCCAATATTGACAAACAAACAACTGTTCACATTGACTTTCACAACGATGGTCAATTATTTTAATCCGCCTCTGCATGTTTGTGGACTGTGTGGGGAAACTGTGCACACAGATAGAACAGAACAAAACAAAGCCAACAATGAAAGGCCATCAGTCTGAGTAGGAACATGAACCAGTGACATTTTTTCTGTTACCCAAAATGTCCCTGTGCAGCTCAATTTTGTAGGTTGCCAGGGATTTTTTCAAATCACATTTTAAATATTTTTTTACGTTTGTATGTTAGCTTTTCTTGGCTTGTGACCCCATTTTGGCATCAGACTTTAGAGATTTTAATAGCAGTCCCCATGTACAGTCACGTGATCGCAAATGTCAATCAAGATGCGCCAGATCGGATATTTTTATACGCTGCTTTTTATTTGAAATTGATTTATATTCATGAAAGACTATAGTGGCCTAAGACTGTATCAAAATCATAATATTAAAAAAATACATGGGAATTTTAGCACTTAAGAGTTAAGGACTTAACAATCAACTCTTATTGCACAGTGCATAAACTCACAAGGCTGTGATGATGTGCATTTCTTGTACTTGACCTGATTTCAGTTTTTACAGTTTCTACATTTTCAAATTTCGACAAAAAAACTTCATTTTTAATCAACAGTATCTGTATTTACACATGCAGTTGTTATTTCTTCAGAATAACTAGGACAGACAGGGTGGCTGTTATAACGCAGAGGGAAGGCTTAAAAATTGTTGAAAATTAATTCTGCAAACGTGTTAAATAATGTCACCAATCCCGACGACAGGCAAGCAGACAGACAAGCGGATTAATTCATCAGTTTGTACGATTACCTTGAACGTCTTTTGAAGATTTCTGGAGTTCATCAGAGCTGCAGAGGAGAGGTACAAAAACAGAGAGATGACTGTTTCTCCACATGCCTCGTGACATGCCTTTCATTCATCGTCCCTCTGACAAAACAACGTGTGTGAAGTTACATCACTGTATCAAATGTGACAAGTTTGGAGACCAGGTAAGTGTCACTCAACCCTCCCCAGGCAGAGCTGCAGGAAGGGGACGAGCTATGTTGAAGGCGTGCTTTTGACAGGAAAACACACGGTATAAGTGCAGACCCTGTGATTATAAACAAAGTGCCTCTCGAACTCACTCTGTGCCTTGAAGGCTGTCAGTTGCCAGCCCCTCTACAGCCTCCACCGAATACGCAGGTACCGAATTTCTCTTCCTCCCGGAGTTTGAAATTCTCCGCCGCTTGGTCGCCCCAGTGTCCAGGCTCGGTTGGTCCTCGTCCTCGCTCTTGGTGTCCTTTAACCAGGCGGGTACTGTCCTCGTTGACCTGTCCCTTAACACTCGACCTGAGCTCTGTGGGCTTGGAGCCGCGCCGTTAACCTCCGCTAAAGATGCAGAAACACCGGACCTCGGCCGACTCTGTGTCCGGTCCCTCAGCCCCATCCTCGATGTGACGGTCTTACTAGTGCCCGGGGTCTGCTCTGCGGCCTTGTCCTCTGCTGGTTGTTCGCCTTGATTTACATTCCCGTTTCGATCACCGACCGATTCCATCACATCGATAACACTTAGTTTGGCGTCCACTTCTGCTCAGAGTCAATCAGGCTTGCTTGAAAATAATAGAAAAACGGTTCGTAGTTGGTTTAAAGACGTTCTGATTGCAAGCGGCCTTTATCCAAGTGTGGCACATTTTCTGTGTGCTCCGTGGTCGTCGCAAATAAATTGCTCGTATTTATTTATTATAAATCAAAAACTTTTCACTATTATCCATATTATATTAAACTGATATAATTTTAAAGAAGCAGACACTATTTAGCATTCTTAAAGCTATAGTAAACCTAGTAATTCGCACGGACCTGGCGCACGACCATTTTGTGCGCATTGTTGCGTCTCCTTTAAGCCAAATATAAACCAGGGATACGTTTAGGAGCCGTAGCGCGCTTTAGAAGCTGTAACAAATATCTGGACTTCACTCTAGCGCCATTCGCTGATGGAGGCGATCCAGTTCACTTAGCTTATAGATCTACTCAGGCAGCTGGCGCCATGTGACTCCAGCAAGCTTATCCAAGATTGGCAGGGCATCATGGGAACTGTAGTGCAGCCTATACAAACGTGATTATATTTTGTCTGTAGACAATGTTATGGTTATTATACACGTCGGTAACAGGATGTGGTGTTGTATTAGCAGAAATATCGTATATGTGTATTTTTTGCTTTGCTTTTCGGCTGTAAGAAGGCCTTCTCAGAATATTTCAGTGTCAAATACAACCACTAGGTAGCAGCAGTTCACCTCAGTTGGCACAGCTGTTTAAAAGCAAACAAGAACAGGGAAGACAGGTACTATAATTGTTCACAACCAATGTTAGAAAACTTTAAAACTAAACTTTTTGTGTAAAATATTATATGGCATAACTTTTTACGTTAAGCAGTAAGTATATCCAAACAAAATTATTTTATATTCTGCTAATAGTAACCTACAAATGATTCATAGTTTAACATGCAATAAGGTGGCAACACTAGCTCATTGAAACGAGCCTCAGCCACCATTATATTTTGAAACTAAAAAAATAAAATGTATTTGCTGAAAATGTTTTGTGATATTAGTTGTATATACAGTATATATAAGGGGTCACTTGAATTGTGAATACATGTAGTACAGGGTATTGTGATAAAATCCATCTACCACCAGATGGAAACAGTGACTGCAGAACTGTTTGGGTATGCTGTAGCTGTAGCCTGTCAATATTTTGTGACTAAATTAGAGTGACCATGTTGTTTATGGAGGTATGTTGGAAAAAATAATTCTTAAAAAGAGTACACCTTATATCAGTGGCCTTTTTTAAAAGTCACTTGATTGGTTGAAAACAATACGGAACACTGGGTGTGTAAATAATAAATAAGTCTAAATAAATATATATATATATATGTATATATATATATATATATACATATATATATATATATATATTATATTTAATGTATTTATTTTAACCAGACTTAGAATATATTTGAAATATTTAATACCAAAGAAGAAAATAAATATTCAACATGTATAGTAAAAACTTACAAGTGTAATAGTGAAATATAAACATGCGCAGACCACAACCACAGGAACATAAACCACAGACTAAGCATTTGGTTAAACAGAACACAATTATTATCATTAGTTGGTAGCTTTAGCTAAGCTGCTCATCCATTAAATGTCAGGAGAATGTTTTTATTGTCATCACATTTTCACAGTGAAGCCATTGACCATTTAGCTCAGTGGTTTCAACACAGTATAAAAGCCCCCAGCGCTCAGTGAACAACCCCTCACACACTTTTGCTGCATGACAAAGGCGACCAATGTCCTCAGAAATCCTCCGTGTACTCCGTGCTGGTGCACGCCATGTTTCTGGAGGAAAGTTTGAAACAGAGAAGTTTATGAAAACACTCTCCAAAACGATGTGCTCACCCGAATATGTTGCTTAACAATGGCTGATGTATGGGGTCAGGCATGTACTTCCACTCCCAGAGTTCAGGACACTTTCAAAGTACCACATTTTAATCTAAAACTAAAAGAAGTGGATTCCAGACATTTCCAGAAAAATGAAAAAAGTGGGTTGGTGGGAGACATTTGATGTGGAGAGAAGTTCATTTTCTAATTTCCAGTGTTTTTATTCAACATGTTAGATCTTCTGGATAAACCAATGTTTATACTCCTGCCTGTATCTCTCTAGTCCTTATGTACTTTGTACACAGAGAAAATGGCTGACAGACACAGTTGTCCTACTGTAGTGTTCTAACCGTAGATCCACTTGTTGATTGTTTTGCAGAATATAAAAAGTATCACCAGGCAGTTGTAAAAAAGAAAGAAAAGAAAAGAAAAAACAAATGAGTGATAGTTGGTTCAGTTGGGTGTGAGAATTTACTTTGCATTTACACCAAGCATGTGGTAAATTATACACTTACTTCTTGTGTTGCAGTGCATGTGTCTGGCATATAATGAACAGTAGAATTAGACAACTGCCACCACTAACTGTTAACATGCTAGTGATGGCCGATTATTTTAAATTGTTAAATTTTGATACTGATATTTTAGCCTCCAATTGTTCTGGTTAGGCTAACCAAGTTTCAGTTCCAGTTTTGTCCCACAGAAACACACAAAAAAGAAACTAAAAAGACTTTTTGAATCATTTTGAAAATGCTTTATTTATCTACTGCATCACTATAAATATAACAAAAGCAAACAAGTTTTTTTTTCTCAAACAAACCTTCAGATAGAAAACAGTCTGCAAAGATCTACAAAAGAATGGAAAATGGCACAAAAGGCTGAAAGGCACACATTATGGAAAGTTTACATGATTTCAACTACAGTATATTAAAGTATATGGTATAATGCAGCTGCACACCACTGATGCAAAGAGCAAATGCAGTAGTGTGGGTGAAATGCAGGCAAGAAAAGGTACAGGAGGATATGTTTAGAGTTGTAGTCAGAAAACACCGTCGTCTGCTAACCAGCATTGTTAACATATTATCAGACTTTTAATAACTTACCTAAACCTGACAAGCATATATTGCAACACCAACAGCTCAAAGTGCCAGTGGGTCATCACGCTTCAGTTAGCCAGTTTTACTCTTGTTTGTGTTTCTGCTTTAAAAATACATAATATTTCACATTACAGAAACACACCTGGAATATGTGAAAACTACAGGGCACTTTGGCAAAAAAAAAAAAGCATTACATTTGTTACTTTGACTTTTTCATAACCCGAAGCTAAGCGTAAATAAAGAAACATTTTTATAGAATATATTATACCTATTCTTCTCACTTCATTCACAGCACACATACAGTAATGCATATATTAAATTTATCCTGACTTACTGCCATCCTACGAGGAAATAGACAAAGCATTTAACAGCAGTTTGTTTCAAATGATAACTCCAGTTTGAGAGGAAGGTTGAAGGTTAACGGGGTTTTTTTTGTTTGTTTGTTTGTTTGTTTTTATCCCAACTTGACAAGTTCATACAATCACTAAAGTTAACATCTTCATATTGGGTTGTGTCAGAAATGTTCTGCATAAAAAACTTTGAAAGTGCTGGTTAAAATTCAGCATTCCAACTGTTTGCATGCTTGTCAGAATTTAAAGACAACTGCGGTGAGTTTAACTTCATGATTGTCATTTGTTAACATTTGTCTTATGAATCACTCCTGCATAGGTATTTAATTAGACCTTATATAAGAAAAGGATGCAGTCGGTGATTGTCCAGACCAGATATATTCTCTGTTGGTCTAGGAGTGAAGTCCATGTTTATTTCAGGCCCTCGTCTATAGGACATGCTGTCATAACTGGAGATTATGATCCTGTTTATACAAAATAAATGATAAAAGTGCAAAGTGACTGTTAACGAGAGGCGAAATTGTTGCCAGTAGTCACCTGTATGTAATCCTGCTGTCAATCACAAACAGTGTTAATTCATATGTGCCTGCTGCAGTTGGCTTTATTCCTTCTCAAACAAGACTGATGTCACTGTTCTGGTAAGTGATCTGAAACTAGTAACATAACAATAAAACCACAAAATTATGTTAAAACTCTCCTCTGGAGCTTCACCATTGGCTTAAACCCCTGCATCATTTCCATATATAAGGTCTGGTTTCAGTATGAGGTGTGCATCCAGTTATGTCCCCCAATCAAATTTACAAGGTTACAACATATGTTCAAAGTGCCCACTAAAACATTCAGAGTATTTGTCGTTTTTTTGTTTTTTCCTGTGCCTGTTTGTCTGCTGCATACAAATTGAAAAATGCCAACAGGCACAGTTCACACAATTTCAAGCTCAGTATCTCGTATCTCTTCATATCAAAGTGGCAATCTCTTGCCTTCCACAAATATGTCTAAGTGCACTGTGGTCAAGCATAGTCAAGAGGAAATGAACTCAAGAAGAGACGGACAAATGGAGTGTCGAGGGTTGTGAGGATAGAGGTAGCCTTTGTCACATATTCCTTCAAATGGGATGGTATGTGGAACCTATGGTGTGTGAATGTATGTGGCTACAAAGTGGGCTAAAAGTTGGGACCTATGTCTGTACCAATGTTTGCCCGAATTGTATAAATGTTGCCCAAATAAAACCAGGTCCAAACAGACATGCGATGCGGGCCTTTTCACCGACAGTGAAATTTAGTTATTTAACAAAAAAACACAGAGATATTAAAATTCTATCATTATTAAATATGAACTGCGAAGCCAGTTTTAAAAGGCATAGTGAGAGGTGTAGAGTGACACACAGATGTCGATATAAGGCACTAGAGTAATGTCTTGGCACTGGAGTGTTTCACCATAGGGTTTTTTTGGTTATTAGTTTCCAGTCCATGTAGAAAACGTGTCTATCATTTATGTCTATGTTTGTTCACTTCTCAGGAGTCAAAAATTTAAAAAAATGTTTCACAATAAAAAATACAAAAAAAAAAAATAAAACAAAAAAACAAACAGCTAACATCAGTTCAGTCTTAGTCCCCGGCCAGTGCAGCATCGAAAGTGTTGGAAACATCACTATGTTGATGATGTCACTTTCAATGTTGCTTGCGTATGAAGCAGCCCACCAATAAGAAAAGCCTTTTCCTGTGTTATTTAAGGCCAGGGGATCTGCTCCAACAATATTAGTAAGATGGCAACTTTCTTAAAACCAAACCAAGTTTGTAAAGCTGACACTTAAAGGCAAATACACTATATATAAGTAAAGCCAATAGTTAAAACCTTCATTTTAAAGTAAATAAACATAAATGAAACTCAAAGTACCAAACATTTGTTTTTGAGGCACACATATTCAGCCAGCATGGACGAAAAACAACACCTACAGCATTTAGAATTGGCTGAAATACTAAATATTACCGATAAAAACATTCAAAAATAACATTACTATATCAAAGCATATCTCTCTTCAGGGGAATAACCTTTTGTCAGTAGTTTATGATGTACTTCTTATTACTTATGCTTTTCTTCCTCGACCCCCGATGTGAAACATTCTAAAAATGTATCTTGTAAATATCATTATTCTTTGCTCCAGAAATCATTCACTACCCCCAAATAAAAAGAGACCTGCAAACCCAAATACACGTTCTCAAAAAAATACTTGAATGTACCTTCAATTTTTAATGTTGTATTGCAACGAGGCGGAAAAGGTGGAAGAATAAGAAAAGTAAATATACATACTGTTGGGGACACGTGTGTCCACATATGGACGGGCTTCCTCGTTGAGCAGAACAATTCTGTTTGTGTGTTGAACTATTCAGTAGAAAACAGTGATGCTGCATAAGGTCACCTGGGGTCGAGGATTTTCCCAGACCAGATTTGAGATGTTTGTCCCCAACATTTGTTTCACTCTTTTTTTAGCTGTTGTTGGTTCACAAGTTCAAAGGATGTTTCTATATTGGGCAGTAGATACTTCTCAGATGTTGCAGTGTTGGTTTCAGTCACAGGAAAGTTAACTACCGTCGTTACACGTTGTTGGAGTGGTCAGAATCAGTATGTCTGGTAGACATCATGGAGTGGCAGCTGGAAGGTGGCAGTAGGAAAAGCCTGTGGCACAGCATAACCAGCGTAGCCTCCATAGGCTGCAGCCGCTACCGCAGCGTTCTTCTGCAGGGCGGCTAGAGCCGCTGTATTAGCAGCGTAGTTTGTGATCGGGATGTATCCAGCTCCATACAGACCCCCTGCTGTGGGGATACGCTGTACATTGTGGGCCATGGCATAGACGGGAGTGATTGGGCGACCCTGCAAATACAGAAAAACATGTAGTATAGAATTAAACTCTGGATGTTTTAAACCAACTACAGGTTGAAATGATTTATGAGAAAGGCAATGACGTCCAAGTGCAAACCTGGAAGGGTGGAGGGGTTGACACTGCAGGTAGGACGGTGGCACCAGCAGTAGCAGCATTAGGATGTTCAGTGTGTTGCATGGTTAGAGGGTTGATGAGGTGCTCCATTGCATGCACCTTTCCTTCCTCTATCAATTTGGCTGTGGGAGGCGCATTGAAAACTGGGTACTGCCCACCCAGACCCGTCAACGCCACTGTACACAAACAGTACACAGGAATAAGACCTTGGACAACAAACTAGGGCACGCCACCCAGAGAATGTAGCAGGAGCACATTAACATGTTTGTATTACATGAAACATTAGGAGACAAGCATAAAGTACATGCACTGGTGAAACAGACACACCTAGACCTAATCATAATCTGTGAAAAGAGTGAGAGAGAACAAAGGCCATGGAGAATAAAACAGAGAGAGGCTAGGTGGAAGGGAAAATACGAGTAACCTTAGTAACATACATCAGTGTGATTCAGAATATGTGAGCTAAACCTTGGATTAAGCCACGACCGGTACTTAAGTAAACACACACACACACACAGATGCACAATAGTCTTTTTGAATGCCGTGAGTAACTGGTTATTTTTTTGTTAAAAACCAGAACTGAAACTGAGCATGAAAGTGGTAACAAATTGTTCCTATGAGTTATCATTAACAAAAAAAGTTTAAATGGATGCCTTGATCATCAATTGTAACCTGTGAACTAGTATCTTAACTCAACAATTTAATTTCAACACCAGTGGGTTTGTTTAAAGTACAGTATATCCGCTTCTACTTGCTGCTATTCACTGCAATTATTTATACTACATTTGTGCTTTTTGCTGGAAAATATTAAAATGGGATGAATAAAAGGAAAAGGAGATGGCGACATAAATATTTGATCACACAGTTGTTAACTAGATTGTCAGAGCAGAATGAACACAAGCCATAATCAATCAGTGTTGGTAATGTTAATTCATCAGGTCTAGAGTGAAAGTGGTGGAATGTCAAGAAGATGAAGCAGCTGCTAACTGCAAACCCACTCCATTTAAATTCATCATCTTGAGTGAAGGAGCCCGAATCATTTTCAGTTTGTATGTAAACTTTCATATTTCCTTTTCATCACTGCATGATTGTTTTCATCAAAGAAAACAATCATGCAGTAAAAAAATAAAAAATAAATCAGCCATGTTTTCATTAAAAAGAGTAGGTGTTGAAATAGTCTGTTAAAGCATTCGTCCCAATAATAACTGTAATGTACACACAGAAGTCAGCACTGCATTAAGGTAATTGACTTTATTCTATTCTAAACGCCTGGAATTGTAATTAAATTTGTGCCTTTGTTTTGAGTGAATCAATGTTGAGTTCTCATGATGACAATTAAGGTATTTTATTTATCTCATCAGTCTAAATGTAAGTGCAATACCCCACTCCCTCTCAGGGGGGCGAGAGCTGCTATCTCCAGTTGCTTTGTTTTCTAAACGGGGATTGCTTTCATTTCCTTCTATCATTTAAAGGATGTGTTTCAGCATCTAATGTCATTAAATCTGTTCTTTAGATACAGTGCTGATTTCAACTTCAACGTGTACATTGAATGACACTGTGTAAAAAGGGAAGGAGGAAAAAGGTGTAGCGGTTACTTGTTGGTCATGGTAGAACGGAGACAAACCCTTTACTGTTAAGAGTAAGGCAATCTGTTTTTACATAACCATCAAGCAAAAACCACAACGTTAATTATCAATAGGTTCCTAATACAAACAGGACTGAGAGGTAGAGATTAGTAAAGCGGAAAGGTTTAGAAGAAGCTTTTAAAGTGGGCAAGGATATGGATGGATCATCTATCTCACTAACTTGTGCCAGGTTTGAGGGCAACTGGGTTGACGGAGGCAGCAAGTTCCAGACTGGGCATCAGCTCATAGGGCTTTTCAGGCTGCTTGGTCTTGCCCTCATGGTAGCGGCTGTAGATGCCACGACCAGCAGAGTAACCCCCAAGGTATGACCCCCTTGGTCCAGGGGTACGGTTACTTGCAGTGGCACGGCCACGGCCTCGCACAGTACCTGCTTAAAATACAGTTGAAGTAATATGTTGACAGGGGTTTTGGTTCTGGATTTGGGCAGAAAGGGACTAAAGTTTTGTACGATAGCTACTTTTGACAGATCTAGAGCGCCCCTAGTGTTAAGCTGGAATTGGGATGGAATTGGATTGCCATATAAATATATTCGTGGACGAACGGTTCAAAGTTTCTTTTTGGCATACAGTACATAGTAGTTAAGGCTCAGTTTTTTACCTCTTTCTTCAGTACTCTTGTTTCTCTTAGGTGCACAGTATATTTGGTGCCACATAAACGGTAAACAAAAGTTGACTTGTGATCTTTGTAATAATACAGCATGAAATGGTAGATGATTGAGCAGCAGAAAAAGCTGGTGTTAGAAAATTTATAGTTTGTCAAATGGCAAGAAAGCTCATTTTTCATTAAAGGAATAAGTAGGAATGAGAATATGAGAGATTACCATTGTTCGGTATCATTGGGAATCCTTTGGAGAGAAAACCAAAACACAATGATTGTTGAAAGTCAAATAGATTGTCCTACTCCCACCCAAAGACCATACTTGATCAATCAACTTTAATGGGATTAGCATTCATTGGTCCATTACCTTGTTCTGTCTTTGGCTGTTTACTGCAAGTCTTTGATTTGAGGTCACAACACCTCATTGCAATAAAGCTTATCAAGACTTTCTTAGTCATTATGTATTTAGTATTCGTCACTGTTCAAACAGTAGCATCTCTTAGATCCCAACTTGAGAGCTAA